GAGGAGTGGGAGGGGCACGAAACCTGATAAATCATATGGTTTGCGAATGCCCTCCTCGCTCAAGCGGGGCCTCCCTGGAGGAGTGGGAGGCACGAAACCTGATAAATAACATGGTTTGCGAATATCCTTGTCGCTAAGGCGGGGCCTCCCTCGAGGAGTGGGAGGGGCACGAAACCTGATAAATAATATGGTTTGCGAATGCCCTCCTCGCTCAAGCGGGGCCTCCCTGGAGGAGTGGGAGGGGCACGAAACCTGATAAATAACATGGTTTGCGAATATCCTCGTCGCACAGGCGGGGCCTCCCTGGAGGAGTGGGAGGGGCACGAAACCTTATACATAACATGGTGTGCGAATGCCCGCCTCGCTCAAGCGGGCCCCCCCTGGAGGAGTGGGAGGGGCACGAAACCTGGTAAATAGCACGGTGTGCGACTATCCTCCTCGCTCAGGCGGGACCTCCATGGAGGAGTGGGAGGGGCACGAAAGCCGACAGATAACATGGTTTGCGAATACCCTCCTCGCTCAGGCGGGGCCTCCCTGGAGGAGTGCGAGGGGCGCGAAACAGAATGAACAGCATGGTTTGTGAATACCCTCCTCGCTCAGGCGGGGCCTCCCTGGAGGAGTGGGAGTGGGAGTGGCCTCCCTGGAGTGGTAGGTATAATGTGTTAGCATTGGTATGGTAGGAGTGGTATGGTATGGTAGGTATGGTATGGCATGATATGGTGTGGTATGGTGTGGTATGGTAAGGTATGGTATGGTAAAGTATGGTATGGTATGGTATGGTACGGTAGGCATGGTATGGTAGGACATGATATGGTATGGTATGGTGGGAAGGGTTGGTATGGTAGGTATGGTAGGTCTGGTATGGTAGGTGTGGTATGGTAGGTATGGTATGTTAGGTATGGTATTGGCATGGTATGGTATGGTACGCATGATAGAAATTGATAGGTATGGTAGAAGAAGAAGGAAGAGGAGGAGGAGGAGAGGGAGAAGGAGAGGGTGTTCTAGGAAAACAAGAACCCCACTCAGCAGGCGGGAAATCATAACCATAAAATCACACAGAAACATTGCCCGAATAATCATAATAATTTCCACAATCATATTCCCAATAACACCAGTAGCACGAACACTAAAAATAACAACAACAACCTTAATGATATGAGTAGTATTCGCATAGTGTGTCTTATGATTCATATTGATAATATTAATGGGATTAGAAGAAGTAGCAGTAATAGTAAAGTAATTGTGATAGTAGTAGTAATAGTGATAGTAATAGTGATAGCAATACTAATAATACTATTAATAGTAATAGAAATAGTATCAGTAATAGTCATAGTAATACTGCTAATAAAAGTAATAGTACTAGCAATAGTAAGAGTAATCATAATCGTAATCGTAATCCTAAACGTAATAGAAATCGCAATCGCAATAAGAATGGCAATGGCAATCGTAACTGTATAGTAATAGTAAGGGTACTAGTAATAGTAGTAGTAATAGTAATGGTAATAGTAATAATAAAAGTAATAGTGATAGTACTGGTAATAGTAAAAGTAATAGTAATGGTAATAGTGATAGGAATAGAAATCGTAATAGTAATAGGACTAGTGGAAGTAATAGTAATACTAATAGTAATAGTACTGGTAATAGTGATAGTAATAATAATAAGAATAGTAATAGTAAAAGTAATAGTAATAGTAATCGTACTAGCGAAAGTAAGAGTACGAGTACGAGTAAGAGTAAGAGTAAGAGAAAGAGTAAGAGTAAGAGTAAGAGCAAGAGTAAGAGTAAGAGTAATAGTAATAGTTATCGTAATCGTAATAGTAAAGGTAAGAGTAATAGTAATAGTAATAGTCATAGTCATAGTAATCGTAATAGTAATAGTAATAGTAATAGTAATAGTAATAGGAACAGTAAGAGTAATAGTAATAGTAATAGTAATAGTAATAGTAACAGTAATGGTGATAGTAATAGTAATGGTAATAGTAGTAGTATTAGTAACAGTAATAGAAATAATAATAGTGATAGTACTAGTAATAGTGCGTGCAATAATACTTCAAAAAATTATAGCAATAGTGATAGTGATAGAAACACTAACAGTAACAATAATAGTAATAGCAATAGTAATAGCGATAGTAGTAGTAATGATTGTAGTGGTAACAGTAATAGTAGAAGTAATGATAATAGTAATAGTGGTAATAATAATAATAGTACTAGTAGTAGCAGTAGTAATAGCATTAGCAATAGTAGTAGTAATAGGTGTAGTAATAAGAGTGGTGATAGTGATAGATACGATTAATAGTGATGTAAAAGTAATAGTAACAATTATAGAAATAGTAATAATAATAGTAATCGCGATAGTAACAGTAATAATAATAGTAATAGTAATACGAATGGTAATGGTAATAGCACTAGCAATAGCAATAGCAATCGTAAAAGTAATAGTAGTAGACATAGTAGTAGTAATAGTAAGAGTAATACTAACAGTAATAATAACTGGAATAGT